TAGTAAAAGCCCACAATGACCCACTCTTTATCAACCCTTTAATCAGATTCTGGCCATTAATAGGCGCCTATTACTATGCCTAAATCGAAGCGACAGCGCAGAATAAAAGCTAGGCGAAGCGAAAAAAATTCGCGAGTCTATTGAACTTTTGTACGCCTCATAAGCCCCAAATCAAGGGGTTCAATGAACCCCACACACTTTTTTCGGGCTGAAAGAGATCAACGACACGCACAAAAATTACATACGGCCAAACAACAACACCTTGTAGGCCTCAAATCGCAAAAATACAAAAAAAAAAAAAAAACAAAAAAGAGAGGCACGCACAAAACGCACAAAAGTCAATGAACTCACACGCACCATCACAAGAAAATGCGAAAAAAAGGCAGAGAAATTCGCAATCGCAAAAAAGTGCGTAGCCGAAATTCTGCGAGATCAACGCACGCACCGAAAAAAAAATACAAAAAAAGGGGCAAACACAATACAATCAGAAATACAGGAAAAAATGTTGCCGAAAATCGCGAGCTACCTCTCTTTTTCGCGCTCTGTCAACATTTTTCAAAGTCAAGTTGAAGAGCGTGCGAATGTATAGATATGCATTGGTATTGGCGTATCTGTGTGCTTGCGATACTTTTGTTTTTTTTTCTTTACTGTATTTTCGCATTTTTGCCAATTCTCTCGCTCTCGCGCTTTTCTAATCGCTCTCTCTAGTTTTGTCTCTTGCTGTTTACGCAATTTCGCATGTTTGGCAAACACAAAAAATGGCAAAAAAAAATCAAAATTAAAAAAAGCTGAAAATACATGCAAGATAGAAACGAACTTTTATCAGTCACACTTTGGTGACTAGAATTTTTGGGCGAACTATATGATGAGATGTACCACCCAGCTGAAATCTATATACTATATAGGAATTTGTATATAGCATTAGCAATATTTTGTTATCGCACAGAAATAAAATACTGAAAAACGGCAGAAGGCACGTTCTCAGCACCTCAACGCATGACATTAGGCGAAAATAAAGAAATGTAACTGAAATTTATTGCAAGCGCTGTTCACCTATGAAAAATGTAGAAAAGATACACACTCAAATAAAATAGGTAACACAAAGAACTTGAACATTTTGTCCGTAGGAATTATAGGAATATGTTAGTTTCATTAATGCTGTTTATTAATTCAAAAAGCACCGCCCATATTTTAATAATATATTGGTAAAACGGGCTTCCAAATCACTTAATGCATTTTTTATTTTAGAGTATACATGTAAATAATAGATGTTTCAATATATTTTGCTTATCTATTTTGAAAGCAAAGGTTTAATGGCATATTTGCTACTAACTTTTGGCATTTTCTGGCCATTGCAAATGTATGAATCGCTATTCCTCCACTGGCAGCTGTCAATTGCTGCGACTTTAGCGATGCGTTTGCGACCTTCTGACCTCCCAGCGGGAAAAATAAATGCACAGGCAATGGTGCCATTAATCAATGACAAAGTAGGAGAAATACAAAATTTTTCCGCTTGCCAAACAATATTTTCCCAACTATGCAAATTTGTCTTCCGCAAAAAAAAAAAAACCACAAAAGTGTTTGCAAAATTCCAAGGCATATATAGGAAAACATATGTTATCTGTATCTGTTTGATTTAATATGTGGGTCACACACAAATGCGAAGTAGCAAAAAAAAAAAAAAAAAATAGGGGAACTCAAGAAAAAAAAAAAAAATTCGCACGCACTCATAAACGAAATCAGCTTTGCGTAGCCGGCTGCGTAGATTGCGTATACGCAATGTGTGTCAAGGACAGAAATGTGCGAATTTTTTATGGGCCCAGCCACGCTGCTCTCCTCTCTCATTCCCGCTGGCGAATCGCGCTGAGAAATGTTTAATTTTTCCACAGCCGTCTAAAATTAAACCCCAACGTCAGGAACAACAAAAACCATAACATCAAAGCACCTACTGAACTAATTTGTGTGTAGCTGTGTGTAGTTGTGTGTAGATGTGCGTAGATAGCATTGAATTTCAGCTGTGCGACAAGCAGCCCGCTAGAAACAGTTTTGTCTGCCATTTCGAGCTTCTTTTTTTCTGCTCTTTGCTTTTGCAAAGTACACAATTTTTTTTTGTTTTTGTGTGTTGTATTTTCGCAACTATTCGCAATTCACGCCCACGGTCAAGCCAAAGGTCAGGCCAGTTGCCAGTTGCCAGTTGCTCTAAGCCCACGAAACAAATGAGCAATGAGTGCAAACACACACAAAGCACACACAAATCCGCAGATGTGTGTTTCCCCCACACACACTTTTTTTCTATAATTTTCTCTTTTTAATTTCGCCATGAAAAACGCTGGCAAAGAAGCTGTGCGAAGAATGCCCTTCATTTACTCAATGTATTAACAAAGTAAATTGGGCAGTAGGCATAACTTTGAAATTAAAACATATTAGGATAAAAATACAGAACTTTTTGTAAAATAAATTCCAAATACAATCAAGAACTATTCTATTATTTCACATCATATTTAATATATTCAATTGTCGCCCAATCATTTAATCTAATTTTAGTAATGTGCAAATCTTGCTAGTGCTTGGTAACCTTTTCTTCGGTGAGGGTATCATTTCGCATTTTTGTATCCGCGCTTCTCGTGGATGTATCTTTGTATCTGAGCAGCTGCTTCTGGGCTTCGTTACTCCCTGATCCCTCCTCCCCCCCACCGCCCTCCGCACACTGTTTTTCGCCTATCTCCGCTGTCAATGTGTGTCAAATTTCCAATTGGGTCGCACGCACAAGCTACTTTGTTGTTGGTATTTGCGAATTTTTTTTCCGTGTATGCTTGTGTGAGTTTTCGCAAGCGCGTTGATCGCGGAAACGAAACAAAAACCTTGCCTGTATGTGCGTCTGTGTGTGTGTTTCCCGAACGCATTGCGTAATCAGCGTTGTACTCATGCTCTTGCCGAATTTGTTGCTATTTTTTCATTTTTTTTTTTTTTTGGATTTTGGACACCAGCTTGACAACAAAACAAAGACAAAAAGACAGCGGCGCCCAATAGAAAAAAATGCATAAGAGGGCCGAGGGGCGAGGGGCGAGGGACGCCTAGTTGGGTTAAGTTGGTGGCTTTTGCCTAGTTAGCGACTTAAAAAATAGCAGATTCGTATGTAGATGTAGGTTTGTAGATATGTTTGCTGCCACAAAAGCTGTTAGAAGTCAAATGGCGCAAAAGCAACAAGCAAAAAGGAAAGAAAACTACCAAAAAAAGTGCAGAGAAATTGGGAAACCCAAAAATCTACAGATACATAATTTAGCCAAATGATCTTGGTGAATCCCAGCTAATTTTTTAGAAGAATAATTTTAAAGGAAATAACATAAAATTATTAAAAACACAATGTAAAGTACCGCATTATTTATGGTTATATTTGCACATAAAGTGAATTTGAATTTCTTATCTTGGTAACAATACCTTGGTAACAAAAGGCACACTTTTTTTTTTTAATTTCAGTAGAATCTTTGCTGTTGCTATAATGCCATTGAAAGTGGTTAAATAAATCATAATACCCTTGAATAAAGTACTTATGCCATATGTGTCGTTTTGGAGCGTCATCAAAACTTTTGCCAAGCGTCTATAGAAGCGACTATAAATTGTTATGGGCCAAAAAGTAGAAAAAATGGCAATGAAATCGGATGATTCAAACGAAACTTAGATGCACACGAGCAAGGTGGTTAAGTTGAATGGTTCTGGCAAAAAAGTTTCTCGTACAATATACGTTTGTAGAAAGTTTTGACGAGAATGCAGCGAGTAAATTATAGGCGTCGATAAGACATCCTTGAAAATAACATGGCATTAGCAGAGATCGCAGTAACTTTCTCCAAACTTTAGGTCTGAACAATTAAGAGAGAAAGGTGAATTTAATTGCATTTCTTAAGATTTTATTTCGAGTTGGGTTACCTACGCTAAACTTGTGCTTCAAAATGTAATCAATTTCTATTATTGAAATTTCACTGGCCATGCCAGTATATAGATCTTTAAGAACTACTTTAAAACCACCATTTTATATATCGCATTTCTCTATATGATATCTAGTGTAGAAATCTTTTGCCAAACAGGTAGAATACAAATTCTTTAACCAATTCCCTGAAAACATATCTCCGCAAAACTAAAGATTGCCAAAAGGCAAAACGCAAAAATTTTTCGTGACATAGGCAATCAAAAAACAATACAAAAGTCCCAAAAAAAATAAATAAAATAAACTGACTTTTGTACAGTTGTTTCTGCCTTGTTTCTTTTCCATCTCTGCGCTTCTCTTTCTCTATGCGGAATTGAAATGTTTTTTGTTTGCCTTTGCGAAATTAGCAGTCAAAAAAAAGTTTGCGAATTTTTTTCCTTTTTTTTTTTTTTGGCTAACGCACAAAAGCGCGTTGAGAACGAAAAAAAAAGTAGAAAACGTAGAAGAGCTGTCCCCGAATTTAGGTCAAACGCTCAACGTCGTTTCTGCGTGCCGATTGGCAAAAAAAAAAAAAGAAGTAAAATAAAACTTTTGCGAATTTTTTGCTCTGCCTCTGCTGATTTTATTTATCTCTTCTTTTTTTTGGGCTTTTATGCCAGAGTGTGCGTTAATGTTTTATTAGCTATTGTTGTTGCTGTTGTTGGTGCTTAACTAACGGTTCATCAAAATGATTGCGCCCGCTTGGAAACCAGAAGAATAAAACTAATGAAAAAAATAAGTCGGGAAATAAGCCGAAACAAGCGGCCATAGAAGAAATAAAATGCCATTAAATTGCCTAGAAAATTGTTTGTGTTTTCTCATGCTGTCTCGAACCAAATGTTAAGATCTCCATGCTGTTAATTATAGCATTTATTGGGGACTTTTTGTGTTGGCGATCGGTTGGAAACGAAAGCAGTATGGGTGAATAAATTAAACACATACGTTTGGCGAAATGTTTGCCATAAAATTGAGCACATTTCAACTATTTGTCTTACCTATTCGTAGTCCTAATATGCTTATAAAATAACAGCCGAACTCATACAGTCTTACGTTTTAATAGGCCACATTTCAGATCGTACATTTTGAATACTAAATGCATACTTTTAATTTAACATCTTGTGTTCTGATGGGGTTCGTGTTGCCTTAATAGAGCGCAAGACTAGCAATCTGTCTTTCGATTGAGGACAACGAAGTTGTCCTTCAACAAGTAAAAACTACACTTACTGGCACTCGTGTGTGGTGTATGGATATAGTTAGGATCTGGCCTTCAAGGACTTGTGCATCATGAGACGCCGGCGAACGCATCCGATGGCCTCATCCCAGTTCTGCGCAGTCTGCAGATCCTTAATCTTGGCCAATCGCTTTGCCTTGGAAGCGACGCCCTTGCGTTTGATTGTCTTCTTCTTTGGCAGCTTGGAAATTCCGGATGCCAGTTTTTTATCCGGCTGCAATTTGCCGGCTTCAACGGCTTCAGTTTTCTTGGTTCGATTGCCTTTGCCCAGAATCCGCATCCGTGCGCACTTCTTTATGTCCACACTGGCTATCGACAGAATCTGCCGGATGGATCGGACACGCCTTACGGCCGGGGGCGTTAAGCTGCGTATCCGGCGACCGGAAGCTGGTGATACCCTGGAAAACTTGCGATTCGGCTCCGGCGGCACCCGCATAGCTGCCACTTTCGGCGGCAGATCCAGTAGATTGTCGTACTTGGGCCGCCGCTCATTCAGCTGCGCCTTGAGGCGGGACGGCTTGGGGGGCGGCTTGTAGGACTCCAGGGTATAGCGGGTGCTCTGCTTGCCACCCGCCGAGGAGCGGCCCAGCGACCAAAGACCCTCGCTCTCCTTCTGGAAGGCGCGGTAGATCAGGTGACGTGGAACAGGGATCGGCAGCTCGGCATGGCGTTGCTGAAAGAGTTGCAGATCGTTAGATCCTCCACTTGGATGGAGTTGTGGTTGCATTTCGTACCGAATCGTATAGCTCCCGCTGGCGCATGCTGAGTCCTGGCCAAGTTAGGGCCGCTCGTTCCAGGCCCTCATCGATGCTGCAATTGTGCATGATGCAGAGTTCGCGGACGCAGTTGTAGAACTGAAGCGGATTGGCATCGCGGGGCTTGAAGCGACTCAAAGCCTTGATGAGGCGGGCACGCTGCTCCTGTTTTGGATCCTCCGTGGACTCCAGGGCGGCTGGTTGGTACGTGTGTCCTTCTTGGTCCTTGGCCATTGTGATTTAGCACTGGATTCTGTGGTTGGGCCAACCAATGAAATAATACTATGAATTTTCTTTTTCGTTTTTTCGTTCAGCAATCTGTCCGGCTAGCTTGTGTGACACATTGAGAATTTTAACCGATACAATAAAAAGTAAGAAAGTCAGTCGATGTCTATTCCGAACCAGCACTCTGATTAAAGTGATTTTGGGAGAGCAGATACTACAGACATATCGAAAGTGAAAAGACAGGGGCTACTACGCATAGTAGCTTACAAAACACACTTATTGTCTTGTCAAAATATAAGAAATAATGTACCAATATATATAGTACCAACTCGATAACCAACTTGATAACCAACTCAATAAAAGGGATGCAAATATTTACTGCATCGAACAGCTGGACACAATGGAAATGCATACATCGCATTGATGTATCAATATATATCAGTGATATAACAATGAAAAAAGCTAGTCAATAGGGTAACAAAAAGCTCGATTGATCTAAAATTGAGGTAGAAACGGGACCTATCTTAACAAATTTTTTGCGTTCTTAAATTTGAAGAGGTTCTGGGAAAAATGTGTGACACTTTTAGCTTTACAACTAGTCAGGCGTTGTGATTCAGGAAAAATGTCGAATGAAGTTTGAACAGCATGTATTGAAGAGTGTTCGATCGATGAACAGCTTTTCTTGATCGGCCTTAAATGTTCCCTTAACCCCTTTTTGCATTAAAAGTTGCTTGGCTTTGTGGTGGCCAAAACTAAAAATGGCTGCCATGGGTTAAATGTGCCAGGAGCGCACCTTCTCTTTCTCTCGCACTCTAGGGGCACTATTTTCATCCCGCACACACACACATCTATATATATATATATACGCACGGGAGGGTTAGCAACCCTTACCGCCTGCACGTGTGTGTGTGAGTTCTCACCCTCAAAAAATACTACGGGGCAAAAAATAGAGGCATTTGTTCGACCATTAAATGCGTTCAGCCAAGAACTACTACAACGGAAGGGTTAAAAGGTGGGAGAGTAGCTGAAGGAATAGGAACAGGAAGAATAGTGTGTATTTCTCTAGTTTTGCTCTTTGTGTGATTGTGTGCGTGTGTGTGTGTGTGTGTGTGTGTGTGTTTGTGGATGTCCTTAGCTGAAATCGAGCTAACCCTACCCATAAAAATAAATAGGGGAGGGCACACACACCACGCCTCCTTTGACCTACACTGCGCAAAACAGTTAGTTTGCTCTAAAACTGATACAATACTCATTTTGAAGAACAAAATTAACGTTTACAAAGTAAACTTTAAATAAACCATACTCACATTTACTATTTAAGGCTAGTGGTAATGCTCAGCTAGTTTGTTTTATTTTTTCCCATTCACTTTATTTTCAATCATTTTGGGGCAGTGTACATTTTAGAGCCTTGTCTTTGGGCTTTGCGTGTTCCGATTGTTGTTTCTGTTTTTGGGGGTTCTCTGTAGCGATTTTCCAACAAATATTTGGACTATTCGTAGACATCCAATATGCATGGGCTTTTCTTGTTTCTGCTTTTTTTTTTTTTGTATTTTATGTTTTTTTTTTGTAGCCAGAAAGAGAGGGCTATAGGCCGTTGGAAGTGCAGGGCGGCCATTGGAATGAAGTTATAGTACAGGTAAACATATATGCATATATAAATGCACTTGCCCGTGTGTACATATTTGTATATATCTGTATATATATCTCCCTTTTGGCCCAACGAATCGCTGGAGCGTGCAGTGTGCGAGCGAGATGGGCTGACTGCCAGTGGTGGGGGAGAGCGGGGGGAGGTTTAGTCATGTCTCGTGTGAAAATATGTTTCTTTCATCTTTTTTTCAATTTTTTTTTATTTTCTCTTTACACAATTTGCATTTGCGCAAAAAGTGCAAAAGTTGACACACGCAAAACTCGGCAGCTTATTAGTGTCAATGTATGCGTTTGTCTGTGCGTGTGTGTGTGTGTGTGGATGCACACACACACTTTATATGCATGTGTGTGCACACACATATGCGTCGCCATTTTGCCGTCCAGTTTACCCATTTTTTTTGCTGTTTTTTTTTCGCACTAGCCATTTATTATTTTATTTGTATTTTCCTTTGACCCTACCGAGCGAACCCCCAATGCACTTAATGAAATTCTTTTTTAACGTATTTTCACCTTTCTCTCCCTCTCTCTTTCTTTCGTTGCAGGTGAGTGGCGCTTTTTTATTTATTAATGGATTTTCCATTTACCCTCAAGAATGGTTTGACACAAGGATTGGCGGCCAAGGGAACAGCTTGACGTCATGCCAAAAAGAAAACAAAAATGGTAAAATACTCGTAAAGCAAATATATTAACAACAGCCTGAAGTTCCATTGAAAAACTGTCGTAAAAAAGTGAGCTAATTGGGGTAGGTAAGGTAAAAAACTTGATGGACAAATCAATTGGAAATAATATGATATGGTTAATGAATATGGAATTGAACTTAGTTAATGGACATTAAGGTAATGGTGTGTAAGGGCTATTTTAACGTCATGTTCAGTTGATTACAAAAAGGCGAAAAAGTCTGAGGCATTTTCTTCAATTGAGGAGCAAAAAAAGAGCCCAGAACAATCGTACTTTAATTTGAAGCACTGCACTGTTTACGCATCGAAAATATTTACTAATAATATGCTGCCTCATCTGGGGAAGCCTTTTCATATTTTTCCTCTCAGTTTTTGTGTGGGCTGTGGAAAAAGTTGCGAGTGTCAACAAACAAATCCAACGGAGGCAGAAGTGTGCAGAATTTTATTTTTTGCCTCTTCTGGCAATCGAAAGACCCGAAAAGTAAACAACAACAAAGTAGCAAAGTAGTGGTGCAAAATCAACAAAAAATAGCCATTGAATACGACAATGTTGTGAGGCGATGTGAAAGGCGCAGTTGATATCAGTGCGACGCCAACTGATTAATAATTAAATAATATCCATTTTGAATGTAGCGATATGTAATCAAACTTCACCGATAGCTTCATGTAGGCTGCAGTTTTGTTTACGCTGGTATCAAGAAATATTTTTCCTGTGTTTCCGCAGATCTTCTGCCGGTCTGCAAGTGTTGTGCTTTTGGCATTTTCCAGCTGCATCCCACAACTTCTTCGCAGCACCTACACTTTGGATCCGAAAGCTACTCGCCAGCCTCCCACTGATCTTCACTGCTCAACTAGTTCTTCACTGGGGCTACTCTTTCTCTCAAACAATTTAAGATACATTTTGTACTTGAAAAAAAGGATTAGGAACTGCAGTTTATACAGAAGTTGTTTCTGGAATTAATAAGCTTGCTTGATTAATATTTGCTTACTTCACTAAAGAACTAGCGAAGATTAATTTATTTTTACTTCACTTAAAGTCAGTTCGACTAGTTTTGAATGCTGAAAATACTTAAAAATGATGCTAGAGTTCTGGCAAATATTTTCCTCTGACTATTGCGCTATTATCTAATTTAGCAAATTTTGATAGTGCATCAAGGCGCTTGTCTTCTCACAGTATCACAGGCGTTTTGTCTTTCTTCAGACTGCAAATGCAGCTCTAGTTGTGGTGGCTGTTCTTGTTGTTGTTCTTGTGGCAGCAATGATTGTGGCTGTTGCAGTTGCAGTTTTTTGTTGCTGTTGCACTTTGGTTTTGGCTTTTGCTGCACGCAGAGCACGCATTTCCAGCGTGAAATGCAATTTCTGCGCTAGAGGAATTTCAATTGTGTTGGTGTGGCCCGAAGGGGGATGAGTGCGGGAGGTGTTCTTGCCAGTCTTCCACTCGGACGTGGCTACACTGGGGGAAATATTTGAAAATTTGCTTACCAATATGGTGTACTTTTATTTGAGCAAAGCTCATTATTTGATTGCAAACTAAAAGAATCAATAAATTGGGAAAAGAATGCCATTACAGTGTACAAAATTCCTAATAATTTCTCTCAGTGCATGCATGTGTATAATTTGGTTTTCCGTTTGCCGTTGCAACTCCCGCAACTGCAGCTCAGAAACTCTGAAATAAATGGATGGATGATGGGCCAAGTCAGTCTTGGTCTTCAGTCTGCAGTCTGCAGTCTGCGGGCCGCAGTCTACACTCTTCATTCTTCAGTCTTCGCTTTGGCTTAGACCCGGTTCAGTTTTGGCGTTCGTCAGTTTGTCAGTCATTCAGTCAGTCAGTCAAACGCACGACGCTCACGCAGAGCACGCAACTTGAATTGTCTTCGCTTGATTCTTCGCCCCGTTTCTTCAGTCTTCAGACGTGCATCCTTCTCTACTGCGGCATTTCTTCCGCGGCCGCACAGCTTCCATTTTTCTTCTCCTGTTTCTTGTTCTTCTATGCACTTCTTTTAATGTTAGTTGAACTTGGAGGCCACAGCAAATTGCAGCTCTTCTAAACAACCTCCAAGACGTCAAAATCTGTGCTTGTTCTGGAAGATTTGGATTTGTGCGGGTGTGTTCTTTTTCGCTATGCTGCGGTCCGTTCTTCCCGTTCTTCTGGCTGTTTCAAATCGAAATAGAAGGAATAGGGGAAACAAGGAGAGCAGCGATCTCTTTGATCTTGATAAGCAAATCAAAGTGGAGCATGAGAAGAATTGCCAGCGGAGAATTGCGGGGCGAAGATATACATATGTGTCATGATCTCAGATCTGAAAATGTTTTCTTTCTAAGTTTTTAAAAGTTTGTTACCCCAATTCTATTCCTTATGGTATTTGCAGATTGTAAAAGTGCCTGTATCTGAAATATTCTGTTTTTATTGGAAGTATAGTTTTTGTTTCCATAAAAGTATGCTTTAGTTTTCTGTCATATTTTAACATTTTCTCTTTAAAGACTTAGATTAATTTAATTTGGCATTGTTCATTTTTAAATTGTGGATTTATACAATATAATTTTTCGTAATTGCTTGTCCTGAAAACTTGAAAGTACATTTCAGCATTAAGTGTTGGATAAAATGGATTTTATCAATAAAACTCCTAAATGCCAGGTTGCTTCATATCTTTAGTCCCTTAAATAAACTCATGCCCAACGGAGTTATTAAAATTACCAATTTAACTGATGGATGGGGATAACCCCAGGCAGCAGATGTCGATAAAGATGAATACAAACAGGCAACAAGCAGTCAACACGAAACGAATCAAAGGATCAAGGAAAAAGAAAAAGTTGGCAAAAAAAAGAAGAAATTTTAAAATGGTAATTTATTCATCTCCAAAAATTGTGAATATGTATA